TTCAACACCACCGTTCCCACCAAAAAAACAAAGCCGGCTCTAAATCGGTATTCCCCCCCCCCCCCCCCCCCCCCCCCCGTCACACACACACACACACACACACACACACACACAGAGAGAGAGAGAGAGAGAGAGAGAGAGAGAGAGAGAGAGAGAGAGATGAAAGCAGGAAGTGATAATTTTTCTGTTTAGTACATGTAGTAGAGTCACTGTTACATTGAAAGATATGGTCAATCTTCCAGTTGTGAACTGTGGAAAATGTGCCTATAATATCCGATATATAAAATCCCTGTCAAGTAAAACGCATGGATGTTGCCTACCACGACTACTGACTTAATGGAGCGGCGCGTCTTGTCATGCTACTGTAAGATGGGGGTAGTCTGCAGCATGTGGTCGAATAATCAACTTGATTTCAATCAACTCTCACACATATAGCTGACACCTGCTGTGTCCTCGTCGTCTTGAATGCAGTCAACTCTCCGAGCACCGTGCGATATAAATCCACTCAGTGTTGAGCAGATCTGAAGTTAATTCTGAACCACGTGAACTAGGGACATTGTTGTCACAGTTTAAATATGAAAACAGGTGCGCTGGGTCGCCAGGACCTTGCTACCTCTGATATTATTCTTCAGATAGAGAACCTTTCACGCCGCGATCAATGGACGAATTCGATAAGAAAATTAAAACCTGATTGTCAACCGAGGTCACTTGATATCGACAACACAGGGTCGAGCCGGATTTGAAAATTAAAATAAAACATTTTGGAGGTACTGACAATGTTAAGTCTGGCACCTAGGTCAATTAAGTCAGAGTTTGTGACGGGAGATTTAACGAAATCGATTTTGAAATCTGATTAGCAATTTCTTTCAATCACAACAATGATTTGTTTACTAAGTTCACGAGTACTCAGGAACCTACGTCAACAGAGCGTGTTCAATTTGTACAAAGTTATGCTTTCAATTATCGGATTTTGAATTGCTTTTATTTCTAATGTGGGACAAAAACTGTCTCAGGCAGAGCGGCTCGCGTCACGTGTCTTTGGTCTGGAGTGTAGCAATGTCACCCGGTCTCCGAGGAAGAAAAGACACAAACGTTTTAATATAAATAACATTTTTGTCCTTTTCTGCCACGCATAATTAACATCAGGCGAGAGAAGCGAGTGAAATGGTATGAGTTGCTCTGAACAAATGATTTCTGTCAAATAATGATGTTATTCAGTACAACAAAATACCGATCTATTTCCTAAGTCGTCAAAAACTACAATATCGACAAGTTCTTTTTCTCTTTTATTCCCGAGGTATCTGAGTAATGGCTGCTATCGACTCTCACTCCATCATTTCACACGTTTGCTAATCAAGATATATTCTTTAACATGAATGAAAAGTTCAATGTTTTAGTACTTTATAGATTTATTGAATGTTTTTTTAACCTCACCCTACGTCGTGGAGTCAGGGCGGGCCAGGGGGTTATTGAATGCTCGCGTGGAAGATAGGTAAACGTGAAGCTTTTGTTTTATTATTCAGACAAGAGCATACTTTTTGTGAAGAGAAAAATATATAAAAAACAGACATCCCACACACACACATACACACACACACACAAGCGCGGGTGAAACTCGCCAAATGAAATATTTCGAATTCAGTTCTATTTGCTCCATCCAGGCCTACTAGCGACTGGTGTAACTTTTTAGTGTCCTTTCGCGTGGAAGAGGGTAAAATATGAATTTTCTTAAGTTAGATAAAAACGTTATATTGTTAAGGAAGAAGAGAGGTATTAACAGGCACGGTATCCTCCTTTTTCACCTCCCATCACACACGAAAACGCACACACACACACACATGCACGCACACAAACATTCGCCAAACTTTTAGATATTCGCCAAATGAAATATAACACAGTCTTTTTTGTGTTATTTTGCTATGTTTTTTCTAACAAAACTGGTGTTACTTTTTAGTTTCCTTCCAAAAAACCATCTGGCAGTCATTTGATGTAACATCGATATTCTTTTCCAGCACAGGTGGTCAGGTAGAACTATCAGACGCTAGAAAAACAGACTTCAGGCTGAAGGCAAAGACGGCTATTGATTGAACACACTTTGTGCTTTTTACACTGTGTTTCCATTATTAATTCAATTTGCCTTTTATGCATGGTACTTCCATGGTGAAAATGTTGATAGTTACCTCTATCATGACCGTATTTTACACGCATTTACTATGCATCAAAAGGTTTTATGAAAACCTGCATTTTGCTGGCCATCGCTTTCTGTTTACTTCCCTGCAAAAGTAAACTTGTTCTTAACGGCGCGCGCGTATTTGCTTTTTAAGATCAATGTTATTTTTACCTTTGTCGATCAAAAGTACAGGAAATAAAAAAATGTTGACTTTAAAACGTATGCTAAGTATACTTGATACGGTTGCCAGTGAAATATTGTTTTGTGGAGGAATGTTATCGTTTCGGGTGCAGATATACACGTATCAGTAGAGTGTTGTATCAACAAAATGATTAATGTTTTATCTCGAAGCTTGTATCGTCTGCTGGGATGGACTTTTGATATTACATGAGCATAGCTTTTCTGTTTATATTTTGACGTGATGATGCTCTGAAAGTTGCGTGGTGTGTGTGTGTGTGTGTGTGTTTACGTGTGAGTGTTTACGTGTGTGTTTGTGTGTGTTTGTGTGTGTGTGTGTTTACGTGTGAGTGTTTACGTGTGTGTTTGTGTGTGTTTGTGTGTGTGAGTGTTTACGTGTGAGTGTTTACGTGTGTGTGTGTGTGTTTGTGTGTGTGTGTGTTTACGTGTGAGTGTTTACGTGTGTGTTTACGTGTGTGTTTGTGTGTGTTTGTGTGTGTGAGTGTTTACGTGTGAGTGTTTACGTGTGTGTGTGTGTGTGTTTGTGTGTGTGTGTGTGTTTACGTGTGAGTGTTTACGTGTGTGTTTGTGTGAGTGCACGCACCTGTGTATTTACAAGCTTTTGTTTTCAGCTTGAAAATCACCTCTGAGTAAAAAGTACACGGGTTCCTAAGGACTTGTCCCTGCACGAGCGCGAGGACCCCACTCCTCTCCCCTGCCCCCCCTCCCCTCCAGTCCTCTCCCCGTCAAATCCACCCCTAGATAAATGCTGTCGTAACTTCCTTTACCAACCTCTTCCAGCACAGTCAGCTGTCACACGGGACCTGCCGGGTCTATTATCACACCTGATCTCAGTACATTGTCACCACACCGCAGATAACTGTCACACGCACACACACACACACACACACACACACACACAGTCACACACACACACACACACACACACACACACACACACACACACACTACACACACACACACACACACNTCTCTCTCTCTCTCACGTGGTATTGGGTCTGCAAAAGCCATTAACAATAAGAATACTTATATCAGGACCTCAGTAAGCCACGATTTGTTCAGTTCTCTGCACTGTTCATGTTCCAGATCTGCGAGGAGCTCAACACACCGCTGATACCTCACGTCAAGAAGTGGACAGGACACAGGGGACAGTGGCGCTATCTGATGTCACATAACTCAGGACAGGTAATACATGGACAGTTGTAAACATTTGCTCATGCAGGGGCGGACGTAAACTATCTTCTTGGTCTTCTGGAAGACAGCTCGAATTTTTCAAGTTTACATTGACCGGCGTCTAATTTTTTTTTATGTGGGAAGATGGTCAGAAATGGAGGATGTTTCAACAAAGATAATTTGGAAGACTGTCAGAAAATACCCATGAATCTGCCTCTGACATGAGTGCATGTGTGGGCACACACATTTATGTAAACACCTACATAGAATTCAGTATGCTTTAAATTGAGAAATGTGCGTGGATAAACTACATCACCAGTCAATGTAATTTAATCAGTTGTGTTTTAAGAGCCCTCCGTAATAAAAGCTGGGTGTAGATCCACCATGTTGTACATGGTATGCATAACCCCGTTACACTGAATTGACTTCTGATTAAAAAAATTGATGAAAATTTGCTAATTGTCCAGCCTTTGGATTACTTAATAACTTGAACATTTGTGTTGGTCGCATAGTGATATCATGATGACAGGAGCTCTGTTTTAGAAAATGATCTAGTTTAAAAAATTGTTTACTTTTAGGATAAATGTGTGAAAATATCGAAAAGTCTATCAAATCAAAACAAACTGTAAACAATGATGTGAAATGGACCTCATGTTCTCATTTTGTGAACTACTATTCATTTGCTCAATGTCAAAGTGAACTGAAATTATGTTATCCTTTAAAAAGGGACCTCTAAACTTGGTCAATTTGATCTTTGTCAAGATATTGAGGTTAAAAAAATTGTGTAGCTTCCTCGCAGACTCCTCATAATAGAAGCCACAGGTAGAAATTATAAGAAAATCTTTCTGACAGCGTCAAACAGTCACTCAGTGGGATGAAAATTGACTTCCCGCTGGTAAGTTAGAACAAGTCATAGCACGAAACTGTTGACACCTCGCTGTTGCTTTGTGTTGTTCATGTTGGTTGGTCATATTGATGGCGATACTCGTGTTACAAATTTCTTTGGTTGCAGACAAAGAGAATGGAATATGACAGCTTGATTGTTGTTAGATGTTGACAGTCAGAAATTGAATTCTAAGAGGAAAAAAATAATCAGGAGCAAAACTCAAAAAATATTCAGATGGAAAATTGGCAAAATAGGAAAAAGGAGAAGATTTGCTGTTTTTGTGGCAATTGCTAACCTTCAGGTAGATTTTACAAAGGGAAATAATGTAAATTGCATAAGTGATATTATACAAAAGGTGGGACATGATCTATTTATAATGGTTTATGGAGATTGTGAGATTAAATCGTGACATCCATACTGCTCAGCTGGTTTTCATTTGTCAGGAATTCCCTTAGCAGTGCAGTAACAGAAATTAAAGATATTTAAAAGATGCTTTGAGGAGAAAAAAAGATATATATGAAAACACTGAAAATTTGCGTTCATATTATCCATAATTTAAAAGCATTGGAACCAATAATGTTAAAAAAAATAGAATTAGTATGTGTGTATTTTATAAGAATAAATTTATTAAAAGGGTAATATTCTGACTGCATCTTACATTTCAAGGGTAGAGTAAAATCACATGTGGAATGAAGTTTGCTTATGTTTTTCTAGTATATTTATTTGTCATTTTCTCATCTATCTGCCTGTATTTTCTATTTTGACAGGATGAAGAGTACCTGGGCTTTATATATGATGCTAGTCAAGAGATTGAAGTAGTCAGATCCTCACTTGTGCAAACTGGGAACTCTGCGGCCTGCCCATTCATGGTACATTTTAAGGTATGTACCAGAGCTTGCACACACACACACACACACGTGCGCGCGTGCACACATACACACTGAAAGAAGGACATTTTCTAGAAAAAAATATCATAACCGGTGTGCATAAGTTACCTGCCACTGTTTTCAGTACCTCCGATTCCATCAGAATTTATTGTATTTTAGAACAAGACGATGAGAATAACAAAATTATTTATTGGATGTCATTTTATTTCAACACAATCCATACTTTATGGATACCAGTATATAAGAGAAAACATGTAACCACCATGACAAATCCAGAATATTAATTTTATGTGTAGTTTTGCCAATTTTCAAGAATATATTGTTTAGCATTTCAAAGCCTAACTATTGACAATCTAACAGCTGTCAAGAGCAGAGCGATGATTTTTGCAACTTGTGTTCAATTTACACACAAGTTAATGTGCCAGTGAACGTCTTTACACGTGTATTGGAACTGGCACTCTGTTGTATAGAAATTTACAACTCTATACCAGGTTGGCTAACTGACTGACTCATTGCAGTTTAAGTGGGAAGATATTAACTGGTTTGAAATGAAATAGTTATGTGCTTTCAGAGCCTGTCACTAATGGATGAATACCATGTTCTGAATGTTTTGTGGCTTTGTGTTTTGTTGTGCATTAAAATTAATCTAATTGTGTGGCTTAATTATTTTCCTTTTTGAGCAAAAAGAGGAAGTAAGCTTTGATGCTGTAATTCATTTATTGAATATCATTTTTTGTGTGTATGTATGTGTATTAAAAGCTATGGGTTATATTTAAATGTAAAGAAAGTTGAAAGGGTATATATAATAGTAAATGTAAACAAATATCCACCCATATTTTTTTAACATGATATCTGCCTAGGTCTGATAGTGAAAACTATTAACTTATGGGCATCCATAGACCGAAGTTGAAGATATTTAGCACTTGTTTCCCATTTGGCAGTGCTAATGTGCGAGTAATGCTTGAAGTAGCGATATTACTTGTGTTTAGTCTCACATTACAGCGGTTAACCCTGTTTGCTGGGGAAACTAGTCTCTGGCAGAGTGTTGCGGTATGAAGGCACTAATGGGTATCTGTGGAGATGAGATAGGCAGAAATGCAATTACGATACTAGTGGAAAAGAACGTTTGAGATCAATGCATTGGCTTTTTTTTATATCTTGATCATGTTTGTAATCTTCTGAGACCAAATGACATTTATGGGGGAGGTTCATTGAACTTTGCATTATTCTTGCTTGTGGAGGTTTTCAGTGTGAAAAATGTATGCTGTGTACTTTTATCTCAGAGGATAAAAATGTGGAGATTTGGGACCAAAGTACTAACTTTTAAAAAATTTCATCAGAAATGAAACTTAATACATAGGTACAGTCCTTTGATAAATTAACAGATCCACAGCCATTTTTGTGGAAAATTATGCAAACTGTAATTTTTCTTTCATATAATTTTGTTTGTTTTCCTTGCAGGTAAAGCAGCACCCCCTGGTGTCCATTAATGTCCACAATCCCTGCTCAACAGACCAGACGAGATTACACTCTGAGATTATGTCTACTTTGCCATCTATCCTGGAAACACTGGAACAAAAGTCCCCTGGAACAAAGGATGTCATAATACTGGGGAATTTTAATCTGGGACCTGGTGCTAAAGGTATAGGGGATCTTCATTATGTAATTTTTTATTACTACGGCGTACAATTATTGTCTAATTCATGGTGAGGTGGTCCTGTATTTATTTTACATACATGGAAAGTTGTTAATAAAAAAATCTGACAATTACGACACTAAAAATTTTGGAAAAAAATATGTTGGAAGATGCTGATATGAAATTCAAGGTGTAAATGGGCTCAAATTTATGTTTTCTCCTCTTTTTTCAAGCCAAATTTTTTTCAAGTGTTTTTTTCAATTTGGAAAATTATTTTTTTAGTCAGTATACACTATCATCACCTTTTGGAGAAAGTTCATACACAGATGCTAGCATTGGATTGTATATATAGAATTCAGCAGAAAATCAGTGTATCTGACAAATATCAATATGAATTGGATTTCAGAATTCTCCTTGTTAAAAGACAATGGATACGTTCACACAGTGGCAGAGGGGTGCTTCACTGATATCAGCCTGGAGAACATGGCAGGTGCTGCCACCTGTGACAACATCTGGCTCAGCAAGCAGGCACAGGCTGGCTACACAGGTGAGAATTTGAACCATATTTTCGTGGTATTTGGGGAATGCAGGAGGGGGTGGATGTTGAGTAGAGGTCCTCCCCCTTCCCCGATGGCCCCTGCCCCTGCCCACCCCTATACTTCTCTAGAAAGGTGTTTTGGTGTGCAGATATAGCTGGAAGTAGCACAAGAATGAATGCTTTAGCACTCCTATTGATGGCCATTATATATCAGAACCGTCAATATAGGAGTGCAATCGCATGAAATTTAGTGTTAAGCTGGAAGTTGAGGCGATTTCTTTTGTACCTGAGTGCTTCTATTGAAATTAGATCTACTGGGACTATAGTACCGACTTTATTTGGTACAAGAAAGAAAATTTCAGACAAAAAAAGAGAATTAAATATCAAAATGATGTGTATATCAGGGGCGGATTGAGGCAGTCTTCTGGGTCTTCCGGAAGACAGTCAGATTTTCAATTTACATTGGTGGTTATCTAATTTTTTTACTGTCGGAAGACAGTCAGAAATGGAGGATGGGTCAACAAAGGTGATTTGGAAGACTGTCAGAAAATAGCTCTGGATCCGCCCCTGTATATGAAGAGAGGCAAAACCTTAATTTACATGATTTTAGATTATAAACAATTTTTTTTTCTCCACAGGTCACTCTAAGGTGGTCAGAGAGGGTTTGACCAGTGTGTGGATCCCCAATGGCTGGGCCTGGGGCGGTCTTGCCACTGACCACTGTCCAGTCTGGGCAGAATTTTATACAGACAGTAGTGTGGGTCTGGAAGATGTAGATTTGATAGAGAGATGATGATGAGGAGGATCATCAGGAGGAAGATCACGAGGATGGCCAGTCACCAAAAGATTTTCAATGACAACAGCCTATTCATGGCTGAATTTCACTTGGACAGAAGAGTTGGACTTTGAGGATCCAAAATTGATGACCACTGACCGATCAAGGTCGAGATCTACGTGGACAGAAAAACTGGACTTTCAGGATCCAAAATTGCTGGTTGCTGTAAAATTGTCGCCAACTACTGTCCAATATTGAATGAGGAATTTACAACCTTGGACCTTGAAGTTTTAGATGGCATAAATATATTTTGCACTGAAAGGTTGTTTTTAGTTTGACTGACTGTATTGCTGTATTTGGCCTCTAAAACTATATATATATATAAAGAGAGATGATGGAGTCATACTAGTGCCATTTTGGTTTTAAACAGATGACACTCTTTTCACAAAATTCTGTCATGATTTCTTCAAAAATTGAGCAAATAAACCAAACAAATGGTCAATAAAATATTATTTTGGGCACTTGTTGAAATTTTGGTACAAAATAATGGTATGAGCCTGGAGACCAATTTAAAAGACACTTGTTAGATACAACATACATTTAACATTACTTGAACTGTTCTATACTTAAGAGCAACAGTGGTAGATTTAGCAGCACAGTAAGTAAAAACTTATTTATTTCAAACAAAACTCACTTTTAAGATACATTTCTCCTAGGCAAAATTTTCTTAGTAATTCAGAAAAAAAGCTGAATCATAATTTCTGAAAGTGTGTATGATTTTGTGAGTAACAAAGAGGTCAAATAACGGAAAGCTAAAGCACTGGAGTTCGTGTAAAATTTGGATTTAAATTCCATGTACGTCTTGGTTAACATGCAGTTAAAAGGCTAAATACCAGACTAGGTTTGAATTCAGGAGGTCAGTGTTTGTGAAGGATTGTACTTATATATTAGATTTAAATTTGCTAGTGGCCCATGTCAGGAAGTCACTGTTAGTTAAAGATAGAAGTCTAGTATTTAGATAGCCATTTGCTAGAATTACCCGTGCAATGAGAAGCCATAAGCTAAGGAAGACTAAATGAAGCTGGACCCTGGTCATCTATATCTGTCAGTATGCCATGGGACTTATTGTCAAGTGCTAAGTGAAAAGTAATGTCAGGGAATTTTATCTACAGTGCGCAACTAGGGTCTGAAGAATGTTTTTTTATGAAGGCCAGTGTTTCTTTAATAAGCTTTGGAATAACACTAATTTAATTGCCTGTGAAGAAAAAAGCCAGAAAGAGTTGTTTCTTAATGAAGTTTCTCTTATTGTATGGTTGAATCCCATTTGTGCAACTATGTGATTATTTGCCCACCTTTAAAACTTCATTGCAGAAAGCAATATTGAAGTCATCAGCAATACTCATTAGATTAACTGGTACAGCACAGTTATTGAGAGAAGCTGGGAGAGTGAGTAAAAAAGAAATATCTACTGTTGTTCATGCTGCACCATGCTACTTGTGTATTAGAAAACTTTTTGACATAACATACCATGATGGTATGTTTAGTTTGATCATTATACATAATTTAATACAAAGATAAAGAAAACATTTGTGTATGTGTTTGTTCAACACCCACCATGCTTTTAGTGCCTTTGCATGATTTACTTTTTTTGCAACAATTCTGAAGATTTTTATCCATTTTCTTGCTGAACTTTGATCTGTATTGATTGAAAAACAAATGGCATGGGTCCACTCTGTAGGAAACTCAAAATATTATGATATTTAAAATAAGGTATATTTTTAATTTTTGTAGAAAATGATGGATCTGACATGTTTGTTGATTAGTTCCATGTAGCTTTGTATCTTAATGAGAATTATACACGTATAAAGCACAATTATTGGTCGTATATTGTTATTATTTATCAATTTAAGCAACAACAATGCAACTTTGTTCAAACTAGATACCTTCAGAATCAACATATTCACACTGGAATAGGTTTTTATTGGGTGCTACTTGTATAAATAGTTTTAAGTCAGCTTCTTTACCAATGCAAATGCTCAGTTTAGAATGACACTTTCCAAAATATACTGTCCCAAAAGGCTACAATTTCTGTCATTCTACATATGTCTGTTGGGTTTTAATAAAGAAGGTTCTAACAGATTGTGAAAAGAAGCTTCAAACTGAAGTCATGTTGATGTAAGGCATTGATATTTTAGAGGGCATTCAGAACGAGTTGGTCTGTGGACTAACAGATCCGTGGATCAAATATGGCCGACCGCATTGGTCTCCCCGCCCCCACATGCGCCATCCCCACAGGGGTCTAGCAATTAAACCCAGGAGATGTGATTCAATCCATTTAAAAGCGTGTGCAGAGGCGTAAGAATATCAGCAAATTAGTTGGCGCTGCTTTTGTGTGGGTCAGCCATATTTGATTGGCAGATCTGCTAGTCTGCAGATCACCTCATTCTGAATGCCCTCATACACTAGTACTGTCCTAGAAGATTTTTAAAGATGAGCCTCCTATTGAGGTTGTTGATGTAAGGCAGTGGTTGGTTACGCTGTACAGGTATTAGGTCATTTATTTTCTGTGACAATTCCTAGATTTACTAATTAGAGGAGATGTTATTTGACAATGATGACAACAGTGATGCATACTAGATGAAACATTTACTGCTGTGGAAAAATTTCTGTGACAGTTGTATGTGTTGCATCTTTTTCAGCACAGAGAGAGAAAAAACACTGTCTTGCCACTGAGGACTAGTTGGAAGATAGCACTTAGTGAAATTTGTCATTTGAAAATGATGCTGATGTTATCAAAGCCTTACTTCTTATAAAGAAACAAATTACATATTAGAAAATAAACGTATTGATAGACATGCCATTGCCCACCAAATGTTTTCATGCATCACTAATGTCAACAGAGTATTAGTAGTGGTAGTAGTAGTAGTTGTAGTAGGGGAGAGTAAGTTCTGTTGTCAGGGTTCGAAAAGCACTTTTTAGTGTTCAGCAATGGGCTGATCGTAGAATTTGACAGAAATAATAGCTACAGAATTATCGCTGTTCAAAATGTAAAAAGCTCTATAAGTAGACCTGTTCACAAGATTTATTAAGATTTATTAAGAAGACTGCAATAAAAAGACTGTTTGTATGTGGTTAACCTCTCACATTGCCATGTATTAGGGCTGATTCAATGCACATATGTCCTGTATTGAAAATAAATGATTTTACAATGATATTTGTATTTGAAAAATATTTTTCAAGCATTAATATGGACCATTTTCAATTTTCTCCACTGGCCATGATAATGTTGAACTAAGATCAAACATATTTAAATTTATACTATTTCTAAAACGTCATTCAATATTTTCAAAAAGAGAAAATTTTGAAATCATAAAAATGAATATAGTCATACATGCAGAAAACTAGTGGGGATTCGGCTTGTCTTGGCGTTCTATGAAGTTCCAGAAGTTAGTTTTTATCCATAGTAAGGCGGGTGTGGTGAATTCCCTAGTAAAAACGGTATGTTTGTAAAGAAATGTACTGCCTGTTCATGGCCTCTCATGATTTAAAAACCACTCATTAGTGTGAATCAACATTATGTGCAGAATTTCACCATGTTTGATAACTTTTAAAACAAGTTGTAATTCCATGAAGCAATTAAGGGGTATTATTTTGGCCGGCCGGCGACTAACTCTGTCAAATCTAAAGTAACTAATACTCTACTGCTTCTTTGTTTGTTATATTTGAATTTTTTTATAAATTTTATGACGAGAATCCACGATCAATTTCATTTTATCAGCTTTACCTAACATCTGATTACTACTTAATAGATTTTGATGTAGATAAATTCTTTATGCATGTATCATTGTACTGTATTTAACATTTAAATGATCCTTTTTAAACCCTTATCATATCACTTGTGATGGTTGTGTGTTCTGTCTGACTAGATAATCATGTTGTGGCTAAATTGAAACGACTCCAACTTAAATGCCAAAGTCGATCACATAAAACATAAAACATATGGTTACTTTTGAAAATACCTTATACTCCTATTCATAATTGCAGGTTTGGACTTATCAGGTGCGTCCATCTCCCACACTTAGCCAGCAAGATATATTACTCACCGGCCTGACTGAGGCCATTAAAATTGGCCACTGGTTACTAATTGTATTTTATATGAGTGTGCCGAGTATCTGATTATAATTTTCCCAGTCACACATACACTCTTAGTAACTGATTGGGTTGAAAAAATCTTGAGCTCTTTCATGGTCAGCGCATAAAAGATATTTGTCTCAAAATTTTGGTTACTAAGACCTTGCAAAAATGGGGAATTGCCTTTTTAAACAGACTGCTGATGCCCCTGCTACGTCACCAACTGGAGGACAAGGGGGAGTGGCCACAGCAGATGTTCAAGCTGACCATAAGCAGTCATCAGCTCCTGAGGAGACCATTGTTAAAATGGACGCAGTCAAACTTGAAGAGACGGGGGGAGGGGGTGGACTTGACCTGGGTCTGCTATTCCCAGCTCTCACAGAAGTGACCCCTAGACCACGGGTCGAAGAGCCCTTTGATTTCCAGAAAGATGGACGTCCCGTTGTCCGCATTGGAAGCTGGAATGTCCTGTCTTGCTGCTTAAACAAGATTGCAAATCCAGGAGTGCGAGAAGTCATCTGTATGACTGTATTGGAAAATGGGTAAGGAAAACTTGTGGCAAAATTCAAGACCACTTCCATTCTTGTCTTGAAATTTGATAATTTATTTACACCTGCAAATTTGCTGTCAATTGGTTTTTTGAGGCTGTGTAAATCCAGGGAATTATATAGGCTACTATATAATTCCCTGGTAAATCTTAAAAGATTGTCTTTGAAATTTACAAGAGCTGTTAATTAATGCTTTTTATAACTTCTCTTTCCTTTTAAAAATGTAAAATAAAGCATCACTCTGGTTGCTTGTCAACATTTGTATAAAAAAAAATGAACCAGCAAGTGCTTGTTAATTCACAAGTGGAAGTTATATTATACCTAAGCCCCCTCCAATCATTTTGTCCATGAGTGAAAAAAACAACCCTGGATAGATGTAAAATCCATGCTTTGCTGCACACAGTCTTCTATATTATGATGCAATCTGTCAAGGAAGACCTTGCGACAGATAGGGGTCACTGCTATAGAGATGCATATTTTCACACATTGGCCTAGTTTGAAGCATGATGATATATATACAGGAATCAGCTGAAAGATGTACAATTGCATTTTTATTTCCATTTGAATAAAATCTATTGTTAAAGTGCTAGTTTAACTTCATGGCATTTAGTTCCTGAGTTGTCATAAGCAGGACTGTTCACTGACTGATTAGTTTGTTTCAGGCAAGAATTTTTTTGCCTAATTACAATAGAAATGCTAAAATCATGGCACTGGGTAAAAAAGATATGCCATCTATTTTGGTGTGAGCCATGCCTTAACACAAGCCAAGGCTACTGTCAGCGCAAACATTCCTGTCACTAATTATACCCAAGAAGTCGTCTTCTTGTTTTTATTTGCTTATAAGAATTCTTTATGGTGGTCTCTAAATGGAAAACGTGTTGCTATTAACATAAAGGTACTTATTTTTCTGAACATGGAAAGTGACTGAACTAGCGAATGCCTTTGAGACAATAAACCACTTTGAAATGAGATGGTACATAACAGTGTTTACCCAAAAACTAATGGGTGGGAAACTGATGGGTGGGGACTGTTATCTGTGAGGTGAAGGTGGTGTAATGGTGGACCTGTTTACATGATAAGGCATGTCTTAAGTTTGATTAATAGCCATCTTATTGGCTTAGTGGGTGCTTTATTACTCAACAGAGTTATGCTATTTTTGTAAAGCTTTTATTGTTATTACAATTTGTATTTGGT